CAGTTAGCCTCACTGCGTTTAGTTAGCCTTGCTGCATGCAGTTAGCCTCGCTGCGTTTAGTTAGCCTTGCTGCATGCAGTTAGCCTCGCTGCATGCAGTTAGTCTCGCTGCGTTTAGTTAGCCTCACTGCATGCAGTTAGCCTCACTGCATTTAGTTAGCCTTGCTGCGTTTAGTTAGCCTCTCTGCATGCAGTTACCCTTGCTGTGTTCAGATAGCCTTGCTGTGTGCAGTTAGCCTCACTGCGTGCAGTTAGCCTCACTGCGTGCAGTTAGCCTCGCTGCGTGCAGTTAGCCTCGCTGCATGCAGTTAGCCAAGCGTTGGAGCTAAATAATTCTATAAGCTGCACTTTGTAACAGACGACTATGATGAATTGAAAAAGCTTCTTGGATGGGAAGAGAAACGTCTTCAAACTTGGAAATAAAAGTCCAGTGGATTGTTTTTTATCTTCTTTGGAATTCTCTGATCAGTATTTATACCTCGTAAGCACTTATAGTAGAATTCTGATTTCTGACATTTTGTTCTTATTTTCCTTTTGCTTCCCGGTTTTCATTGGCTGAAAGGCGCCTTTTTAATGGTGACACACGTATTCATCACTCATTAAGCTCCGCCCTTGCTCTGCTTATTGATAAGCCACCCTGTAGTAAAGATTATGGTTCTCAGTGGGTCAGCGGTGAATCTTATCTGAAAGGACCACCAGAGGGAGCTGTTTTGAAACTCTAATTGTTTCTTTTGCAGGACATCCAGACTTTCTTGTTCAATGTCATGATGCTAACATGATTTTAGCCACTTATTGAAATGTGTACTTTTTTTGCAAGGTTATCTTAAGACAAAAAAAAAAAATTACATCCAAGAGCATCTGAATGTTATTCAGAATAACAAGGACTGAGAAGATAATCTGTTTTCACAGAAACAGAATGACTATCAACATTTTTCCTATGCAGGTAAAAAAAAAAGCTAACAAATCTGTCCCCTTTCCGTTACCACAATCAAAGATGGCGACGCAACATGGCGTCTTCTGGGTGCACCGCCACCCATGTATCTATAAAACACTAGTTGCTTGAGTTTGGCAGAATTTGAAGTTAAGAAAGAAATGCTGTTGTTTTTCCTAATAAAACAACTAGTTACTATGGAAGCCTGTTTCCGCCAAATGAAAATAAAAAAATACCAAATAAAAATTATGAGATACAAAGTCATTATTTAAACTCTCATTCATTTATGAGATATTTAAATTTCAAACTTTGAATCTCATAATTACGACTTCCTATTTGGCATTTTTTACTTTCATGTGGCAGAAACAGGCTTCCATAAGTTACACTGTCTCTTTAAGATTCCTTTTTATTTCCTTTGTTGCATTAAAATCAGTGTTTTAGAAACTATTTCCTCCCTTTTAAGGAGCAGAAGTCGACCCACTGTGAGGATCAAGTTTTATTTCCATGGTTTTCATATTTAATCGTATCTTTTGTGTTTTTTTTCAACCCAAACATCCTCCCTACAGTTGACTTAGACCAGGACCTGGACCGGGAGTCGCAGGAGTACCTGGAGGCTCTGGCACAGGCAACAGCGGATCTGGAATACTGCGTCAACCTCTGCAAGTCGCGTGTCATGATGGAGACCTGCTTCGACATCAGCATCACCACGACGACAGCAGCTAGCGCCGCCGCGGCGATGCAGGATGGCCACCGCAGGGTGTAGGTGCTGCAGCATCGCCATGGAGACGAGATCTTCTAAATGACGGAGCGGATGGTGGTTCTTCTGACATTCTGCTGATCCTGGATCAGCGCAGAAGCTTTGGAAGTGCCTTTTTATTTATTATTCATTTCAATTTGATTATTTAATTTACCGATTCCCTATTTATCTTTTTTATTTATTTATTGGGTTGTTAATGGTGCTGGAATATTTTTATGCAACATAATGTAGAAAATATCTGACTTTTTTATAAAATAAAACCAGAGTTTAGGTAGAAAATAGAAAAATGTCAGCTGAGCTCAGATTTGCGTTTCTGCGATGATAAAGAAAGGACACTGTTGTCGTTGTTGGTTCTGTCAGGCGGAGGCTGTTCAGGAATGACTCAGGCCGTTTCTCACTATGTGTGCTTGTGCGTTCTCGTGTACTCGTGATACGTCATCATCCTGTTCCAATTCACAAGAACAAGAAGACCGAGAACGGACAAAATCCCTGGATGTTGTTCTTGCCCCTCCCTCTTTACCCAGCATGCATCAGAGCAGACTTGTCCGACTGCTGTCCCAGCATGCACTGCGGCAGCAGCAGCTTCCAGGTTAGCGCTCACAGAGCTCAGAGTATTGAGTCAAAAGTTCTCTTTTCTGTTGCCGTTGTTCAATAAAAGTACGTTTTTAGATAATTTAAGGTGATAACATCCTTTAAGCATCACTATATGGCCCATTTACTGATTTAGTGCATAAGTTAGAAAAAAGATCTGATGTTGAGACAACGGCGGCAACCAGCGTAGCTCTGAGTCTAGCCACAGATTAGGCTAACGATAGCCTGTCTGCATCAGCCAGGGCTAACGTTGGTGAACATCCTCAGTCATCCAGCTTATAGTCATTCCAAAAACAGAAAGATAAAAACAATCCACTAGACTTCATTTCCAAGTTTGAAGACGTTTCACTTCCCATTCAGGAAGCTTTTTCACACTATTCCTGATATTTTGAATTAAAAAAACTTGCTGGATGGAAAGCGAAACGTCTTCAAAGTTGGAAAAAAAAGTCCAGTGGATTGTTTTTTAAAATTCCTTTGTTGGAACACCAGAGCTTACGTTAGCCTGTCTGCAGCAGCCAGGGCTAATGTTAGCCCGTCTGCAGCAAACCAGGGCTAACGTTAGCCCGTCTGCAGCAGCCAGGACTAACGTTAGCCCGTTTGCAGCAAACCAGGGCTAAAGTTAGCCTGTCTGCAGCACCCAGGGCTAACGTTAGCCCGTCTGCAGCAAACCAGGGCTAACGTTAGCCCGTCTGCAGCAGCCAAGGCTAACGTTAGCCCGTCTGCAGCAGCCAAGGCTAACGTTAGCCCGTTTGCAGAAGCCAGGGCTAATGTTAGCCCGTCTGCAGAAGCCAGGGCTAACGTTAGCCCGTCTGCAGCAGCCAGGGCTAACTGCAGCCCATCTGTAGCAGCCAGGGCTAACGTTAGCCCGTCTGCAGCAGCCAGGGCTAACTGCAGCCCATCTGCAGCAGCCAGGGCTAACGTTAGCCAGGTCTGCAGCAGCCAGGGCTAACCGCAGCCCATCTGTAGCAGCCCTCTCCCTGCCTGTCATGGCAATTTTTTGTTTTATTTGGCAAAATGTTCATTTGTATTTGTGTTTATCTGACTATGTTCATTATTATTCCCCTACTAAATTAAAAAAAGTCATAATTTACTATAATCTAGAGACTTAATAATGAGATGAAATGCAGCTCCAGACGAGCAGAGCGTGTGGTGATGTCATCAGTACGCTTCTGTTCCAATCGACCAATATTTATGCTGCGTGCTCCCGTTCTCCCTGAGTCCACACTGTCCTGTGTTTTTCTGAAGAACATACTTGGCGAGGACTCAAGTCCGTACTCGCGTTCTTGTGAATTGAGAAACGGCCTTCCTGTAGTGAGAGCATGAATCCAAAGACTCGTATGGACCTAAGTCCCTCCCCTTTGGCTGCAGACCGTGGAGATCATGTCAACTGGGAACGTCTCAGATGTGAGGATCCACGATGAGCCTTTGTTTCAGATCCTCCAGAAACTGTCAGACATTAAAGCCTGAAAAGCCTTTCTGATAAATATTATAAAGCAGGGCTGCCAGAGTCCAGTCCCTGAGAGCTCCTTCCAGATGGATCCCTCCAACCACCTGAATCAAACCAACAGACCAGGACTCTGCAGAGCCGCGTGAATCTATTTCAGCCATTACGAGCAGGATGCATCTGAAAGCTTCAGGACGGGGCGGCCATGATGTAAATACTATTAGTTATTGCTTGCTGTGACCCGGAGGTCCGGTTCTGGACAACGTGCTGATCTGTTACCTCTGTTCTTCTCCTCTGACACATGTTGTGTTTTACCTCTGCAGAAGGCAGGTTGTCGGGCAGCGTTTGGTTTTCACCACGTGGAAATGTTGAGTAAAGACATTCAGCCTTGATGCTGTTAAATATAACAAATCAACCGTACGTCTGCAGGGAAGTGGATCTGTAATCCCTCAGAGTACAAAACTTTTATTTGGTTGTTTTTCTTTTGGCCTTTTTTTTCACATCAGTATGCATCTAAACCTCAGGCTCTTTTTAAAGTTGCTGCATGAATTTCTTTTCCAACTTTATAATGTGTATTTTGTTTTTTTTAAAGAAGTTTCTCTTCCAGTTAGAGACTTTTTTTAAGCCCGGATGCTTTAATTTATTATTTGTTTTTCTACTGTACAGTTTCATATAAATTGTAACAATGTGTTTGAAAATCTGTAAAATTTAAAGAGGAATTATCTGACCCATTAAATTCACGTTTGTTGGCGCAAAAGGAACCATTTTACTGATTCATTCATTTCTAGAAGGTAAAAACTGATCTGAATAAGTAAAACTGTCCCAAAATGAATGAATTGATTGATCTGACGGTAGAAAAATTTACTCTTTACATCGGCTCAAATAACCAAAGAAGAATGAGCCAAAGGAAGAAAAAGGTGCATTAGAATATATACCTTATATCAGTGGTTCCCAAACTTTTTTTGCCCAAGGCACACCAAAGGACAAGTAAAAATCT